TAGTGGAGTGTAGTTGTGTAGTTGTGTAGTTGTAGTTGTGTAGTTGTGGAGTGTAGTGCAGTGTAGTGAAGCGAAGCGACATCTGAAGCTCCAAAAGTGGTCCGATCCCCTAGTGTTTTTAACATTTTGACTTCGAAATGTGCTTCGCGCCACAACGGCGTGCACTTTTTCGACATCGGAACCTCCAAAAGTGGTCCGAGCATGGTGTGTTTTGTACATTTTGACTTGGAAATGTGCTTCGCGCCACAACGGCGTGCACTTTTTCGACATTGCTACTTCCAAAAGTGGTCCGACCATGGTGTGTTTTGTACATTTTGACTTCGAAATTTGCTTCGTGCCACAACGGCGTGCAATTTTTCATCTCTCATCTGGCTCCGCACCCGCCGCTTTAGCGAGCCTACTTTTCGACCCTCCGGAGCCCCAAATCAGTGGAAAAACACAGTGTTTCGCGACTTTCCTACCCTTTCGCTCATCTGTGCATCTTCTTTCTTCTTACTCTTTCTCTTCTACCCTTCTTTCTTCTAATCTTTCTCTTCTCTCTGCCTCTTCCCTACTCTGCTTTTCATCTGTCCATATTGTCGGAAGTTTGACTTCTAAACTTCCTTCGACTACTAGTACTACTAGTACTACTAGTACTACTAGTACTACTAGTACTACTAGTACTACTAGTACTACTAGTACTAATAGTACTACTAGTACTACTAGTACTACTAGTACTACTAGTACTACTAGTACTACTAGTACTACTAGTATTACTAGTACTACTAGTACTACTAGTACTACTACGACTACGACTACGACTACTACTACTACTACTAGTATTAGTACTACTAGTATTAGTATTACTAGTATTAGTACTACTAGTATTAGTACTACTAGTATTAGTACTACTACTATTACTACTACCACTACTGCTACTACAACTGCTACTACTACTACTACTGCTACTACTACTACTGCTACTGCTACTACTACTACTGCTACTACTACTACTGCTACTACTACTACTACTACTACTACTACTACTACTCCTCTCCGCATTCTCACTGTCCGTATCACGGAGTTTAGACTACTAAACTTCCTTTGATCATTCATATATATATATATTATTATATTATATTATATTATATTATATTCTATTCTATTATATTATATTATATTATATTATATTGCATTATATAGTATAGTATAGTATATTATATATATGTGTATACATATGCATATGCATATGTATCTGTATATGTAGATGTATATGTGAATGTATGTGTATGTGTATGTATATGTGTATATGTGGATGTGTGTATATGCGTGTATGTATGTATGTGTGTATGCATGCAATGCAAAGGTAAAGGTAATGGTAATGGTAATGGTAATTGTAATGGTAATGGTAACACACACGCACATATATATATATATACATATTATATATATATATACACCCGTAAATATATGTATATATCCATATGAATCCTTATACATTATATAGTAATTTGATGGTCTCATGCTGATGAGTTGGATGTGCTACCATGTTTTTCGGTGGAAAGTCCGACATTTGAGGACTGTTTGATCTCCATTGACACCATTCCTTGGGAACGACTCTCACAAGGTCCTAGGGGCCTGGGGGCTGCTATCATTTGCCTGTTAGGGATTGTTTGAGGTTGTGTTTTACAAAGGGGCCTGTGGCCAATGATGGTCATGTCAAGAGACAGGTTGGACCTTTTTGCTTTGGTCAAGTGTAGCCAAGAGGCCCAAGCGTATAGAGGCATAATACAGGCATAGTTTTTGAACTGCAGCCACGGCATCACCAAGTGAATTCGAGCCTTGGCGAATCGATTAATTAGTTAAAGGTTCTGCGCAACTTTACGATGCCACCGACAAACGTTTGGCATCTCTAATCATCTACCTTATTCCTTCGTCCTTCTCAAGCTTTGACAGCTGTTCAAGAAGATCTGCTTGCAGGCGGATGGAAGAATATGCAACAATTATAGGTGTAATAAGGCTCCACGTCAGCAAAGCAGAGCAGCCAACGTGGCAACCCTGCAAAACAAGTTCAGGTGATGTTTGGGAGTCAGAAAAATGGTTCGACATGGCAACCAATCTCTGGCAGCGCATTTCAGTCAAATGAAAACACAATGGCAACAAGGCAGGTCCATCCAGGTTCCAAAAGTGGTTCAAAAAACCTCTGGATGGTTTCAAGCGGAACAACTATGTACTGCTTGCATGGCTGAATGAACAGCAAGACCACCTCGAACAACGTGATCTTGCTGTTCACCCGCCATTTTCTCCACTTGCTTTCAGCAGTTGTCCCGTTCCTGACCAAAGTGCTGCAAGGGTCTTGGGCTAATCCAAGGATGCTGGAAAAACATGCGGTAATTCCAAGTCTTCCACACTTTTCATTCCAGCTTCTGAAAAACCGAGAGCAGATGATAGCAGATGTGGGTTTTGTCCGAACATGGGTTCCACCCGTTTCCATCGAATTATCATCATCCTAATTTGCATCTAGCATCCTTCATTTAAGGAGGTTTCTGAATTTTCATGGGGGGCCCCCCAGAAAAATCCCTTAAATCATCCATTTTCATCAGATTTTCTAGATTTTTCCACCTTTTTCCACCACAAACCAACCAGCTACCAAGGGGATCCCAACCACCACCTGTCGGTTTCCGCCAGGCGACATGCCACCCCCGCACCTCCAGCCGCGTGCAAGGCGCCCCGAGAAAATCTCCGATGGAGCTAGGGAATTGATGAGGATTAATGGGGAATATGATTGTTCAATGGAGATGCTGTGGGATTGTTTTTCTACCGGGTTTTAAACAAATATACCTATAATTTGATGATGATAAACTATTGATAATTATACTACCTGGTTTACTGGGGATTATGATAATATATGCGATAATATATGACAATATATGATAATATATGATAATATATGATGATATATGATGATATATGACAATATATGATAATATATGATAATATATGATAATATATGATAATATATGATAATATATGATAATATATGATAATATATGATAATATATGATAATATATGATAATATATGATAATATATGATAATATATGATAATATATGATAATATATGATAATATATGATAATATATGATAGTCCATAGGACACAACTCACAACTATCAACTGACCGGTACAATGAGATGGGATAGCGGATGATAGCGGTATTTTTTCGTGGCTCAATTGGAAGATTTTTTTGTACAGTACTTAGTGTTTTGATGGAAGAGTGCTTCTGATTCTGATGATTGAAGTTCAAAATGAAAATTACTGTTTCATTCTGCTTACCCAATGGATTCTTTCATCATTTTTGTTTGTCCTGTTACTATCTTTGCTGACCATTCTTCCATTCTTGATCAGGAGCAGGACAGGTTGGGTCGTACACAAGAATGGCTTCATAGACTGGTGCGAGAATGCTGAGACAATATGATACAATCTCAAAACTCCAGCCACTCCAGACCAGTTTGCAACACGCTTCTGGTGCTTCAACAAGATCTCCCTTCTCTGAGGCATGTTGCAGGGGCTTCGGCGAAAATTTCAGCTGGAGCCACTGCGCAAGGAGCTATTGGAGGCTGCCGCACTTCGATTTTAAAATGCAGTGTGGCCAATCCCGTGGGCAAAGTGTAGCGGCCAAAGTGCCGACTGGCAAAGCTAGATTGTACAATATTGTTAAACACCAGGAAGCTGAAAACAAGGGCAGCAACCTTCCTGGCCCGAAGCTGCAGCAACGGGCAACAGGCTGGTTACTATTGTGGACCATTGCAAGCTTATTGAGGCACAACTTTCATGCAGGATTTGAGCCAGGAGCGTTGCGCAAACTGGACAGATTCAGATTCAGAAAGAATGGTCCTAAAACAGAATGTTACCACACTGCACTTTTGAGCCCAATGTATTTCTTTGTTGCATAGTTTGGTCCGGTGGAGACGAGATATCAATTTAATTTACAATATAAATATGTAATATAAATATAATATGAATCTGAATTATATAATGTGGCTAGAATTCGTGGGACTCTATGGAATCGCATTTCATGGTTGAGATGTGACCACAGAATATCACAGAAGTCATAATATCTTCTGGTCGTTTCTGTTTTCTCAAGCTTGGCCGAAGCTGCCGGGACGGTGGATTTGTGATGCACCTCCTAACTCCAGAAGAAGCAGAGCTGGCGCGCGCAGCGCAAAAGAAGCTCTTGGTGTGGTTTTCATTCGCGTCCTGGCGAAATCCGAGAGCTCCAAATGCGGGGGGTCTAAGGATCAACGATAGGGATTTAATCGGGTATTAATGGGATAATAGAACCATGATGAACCATGATTATCTGGGTGTATCTAAAAATGGGTATTAAATGGTATTACGACATTCCGGTATATCCCTGATCATGGAGTGGAATTAAAGGCACCCTATAATACTAAATCCACATTCCGCAGAGTCTGTTTGTCTAAGAAGTGTCATCACAACATCTGTGAAATTGGAGCTTTGAATCCTACTTTTTACAACCCAGTTTCCAGGTGCAAATAACCCAAGTCATTATCTAGATTTCAATCAGTTCTGATACTACGCCCTGACAAAGATCACACGGAACCAGGCAGATTCAATCTCCTCAAGATTTTGTCTACTTCTGGAAATACTGCTGCTGTTTTTTTTTGTGTGGAGAGTTTTGCCACCAACCTTTGAGGAGTATGAATCCCTGGAGCGCGCCTTGCCTATGTTCGATCTTGATGCGGATGGGATCATTTCTGCCTACGAGATTTCACGGCTGGCAGCTCAAGCAGGAGTACCTGACCACGCCATCCCCACACTGATACGGAGCCTTCGCATGGGGCCGGCAGGCAGGGCGACAACTGTATGAATGAACTGAACTGAGAATTGTGTTGTAAGTTATTTAATGTTATTTATAAGTGATATATGATCATATTTCCTAATATTGTGCTCTCAGAAAATCTCCATAAACCCAAGGTATCCCAAAGTACACCCAGCCCATAGCTGCCATAGCTGCCATGACCGGCAATTTGATGAATCTCCGCAGGGATACCTCTGGACTCACTGGCTGACATTCTTTTGGGCCGCGGCGTTGCAGTTCCTTCAGCTCCTCGGCCCCCAGCACCGTTGGATCGCGCCTCGGCGCCGGCGCCACCGCCGCCACCGCCGCTCCCGGGCAATCGCTTGCTGCAAGTGGTGGAGGAAGCCACGAAACGGCGCCTGGATCTGTCGCAACAGATTCTGGGATTGTTGCAGTGGAAGGAGGTGCCGGAAATGCCCTGGCAACAGCGTGAAGCAGATGCAATTTCATGGGCTTTGCGCATGGGAACACATGAACTCTTCGACATCACAGATCCATTTGGATCAACTGCCCTGATTCTGAGCTGCCGGCTGGGCATGGAGCAGCTGTGCAATGTCATGTTGACGGCTCCGGGGATTTTGCCAAAGGCGGGATGGGTTTGTGCATGGTTTGTGCTTGGTGGATGGAACCTCGTGGGCACCTACACCAGTCTCTTTGGATGCCCAAGTTGCAGATTGAATCTTGATAACATCATATAACATCATGATAGGGCCGCGCTTCTGGATACATCATGATTGCATTGCATCATTGTTGACACTTCAAGTCGTAGCGACAGGATCTGAAGGACTACGTGAATCGCTGCAATCAGATGGGATGGACCGCTTTGCTCCTGGCGTCGCAGAACGGATTTGCTTCGACCCTGAGGGCAAGCATTGGCAACATCTATTCGGGGCTTTGCCCATGGGGGTACCCCCATCATCCAGTCGTCATAGATGACCATTTTACTTAGAAAAAAGGTTAACCACCATGGTGACGACTCCGGGATCCCCCATGACTTAAGAACGCCCCCCCAAATCACTTTAAAACCGTTAAAACTTTCCTATGATATTCCCATTAAGTCCCTGTAAATCCCTATGGTTTTTTGGGATGACTTCAGATCCTCCCCCTTTCTAGATCCGATGCCGAGGATCTGCCATCAGCTGCTGTCGGCTGAAGCCGATCCCAACGTGTCATCGGAAGGGCAGTTGACGCCGCTGATGTTAGCTGCGTCCAACGGCCATGAGGAAACGGTCAGACTCCTTTTGGATTCTTGGGAAGTTCCAAGTAGAATTCCAAGTAGAATAAGAAATGGCAGGCAACATGTAGGTAGATCTGTACGGAATATGTAGACGTGTGTATACAAATATATACAAATACAAACACACAGACACACAAGATATTTGCTCAGTGTGACACCTTCACTCAGTGTGAAACTTTTGCTCAGTGTGAAGTTTTTCCTACATGGGAAGATGTCGTTTCAATAATACACCACCAAGCAGTGAGCGAGGCCCTAGGTTCTTGATAGTAGGTAGGAAGCGGGTTAGTGCCTACGACCTGTGGCAATGTCCATGCTATATTGGCAATATATATATATATAATAATAATAATAGTAATAATAATAATAATAATATAATATAATATAATATAAAATAATATTATTATAATATAATATAATATTATTATAACATAATATAATTTAATACAATATAATATTTATATAATATGTATGTATACTGTATATATATATATTATAATAGAGACATATAGTGTACATATAGTGTACATATGTGTAAAAGTGAACGCCACCCAGGGGATGAAGTCCTTGGGCCAAGGATTTCCAGTGGTCTCGACACCCGTCTCTGCGCGCGGATCCCTTCAGTCTCAGCGCCGATGGTCGTTTTGCCCTGCACTTTGTTCGACAGAGACTGCAGAATCGGAAGCCAGAGGACTGGAGTTGGACAAGTGTTGGAAACCACGACAGCAAGAGATTTTGCAGCAATTTCTGATGCTTGAACATTTTGGGGGCAATTGTTGTCAAGAGTCTTGTTGGTTGCAAGACTGCTGAGACTACACATGTTTTCATCACTGAATGTCAAAAAGATAGCGGGACATATAATAACAGTAGAATCCAAGGTCATTTACATTTGTACCGCATGGTCCTGCATGGCACCTTCATTGGGTATTCTCTCCACAGGGCGTCTTCCCCAAACTGGATGGATTGGCCAGCATGGCCACCATTTGTCTTTGTACCTTACCAGAAAAACACAGAGAGTGTGTCTGAAAATAGGGTACTCCAAATGCAACAATTAACATCAATTAACCATCATGATCCCGATTTACACTGCTATAAATTGGACGTGCATTTTCAGAGACACCCATATCTGGCCCATATCCCATCAAACATATCATATCCCATTTATCCCATTACCTCCCAGGAAATCATCCCCATAAAATGGTTGGTTTCATATCCCCCATGAGTGATAAATCCAAATCGATGGTTTCCCTCCGCAGGAGTCTTTCTGGAGCTTGGACACCTATGGAGTCAGCCGAGCCCAGCTTTGTCCTGCTCCGGAGGATCTGGGAGAATGCTCCCCTGTCCAAAAACGGAACCCCCCAGCCAGTTCAACCAGCGGTTTCCATGGTTTCATTTGCTACTATATATTATATTAAATATTCTAATGTTGTTGTTTTTTTTTGAAGTCAATTTTCAAACAGATACCCAGCCAACCTGCCAACCTGTGGACGGGAAATGGGGTTTCCCGAGTTGGGCAGGAGTACAACAACATCGAGCGCATGCTTCTTCATGCCATGCAGACTGCACCTGTACCACCTGGCTTCCGTGAACATGCTCAGGACTGGGCAATGCAAAGCTGGGGGTGTCTGAAAATGGGGTAACGGTACATGGATGTACATGGTATACCGTGGTTTCATGGGGAACATGATGATAAACCACGATGAACGATGAACCATCAATTTTCTTGGGCTACCATATTTTTACTTGGTCTGCAAAGCCCTTCTTTGTGAGAGCTTGTGAGTTTGGCCGTGAATGACTTTGGCGTCTTGCAGGATGACGAGTACTTCGGGGCGTGGCAGCATGTGCTACACGAAGTCTGCCCAAGAAAAAGGGGTGGGTGCTTCTTCGTCTGAAGAACTGGACCCAGAATACACATGAATACACGGGGTTCGTCCCCAAAAACAGGGTAGCCCAAAAACAAAGGTGAGTAATATGTTTTACATATGGTGTACCATCTTTTTCCCATCGTTTCCCATGCCCAGAGCCTGGGGTATGATGTCCCCTTATTTGTTGACCTCACATGTGGGTCACCTGATCAGCAGCTTTCGATGCAGCAGATCTTTTTGAGTTGTTGGATCTTCCACAGGTTGGATTTGTGTGCATTGATGTGCAGCAACTATATATATATATATACATACATTGCACGTGTGTGGCAACTTTGATATATATATATATTAATAATAATAATAATAGTAATAATAATAACAATAATGATAATATGTGTATATATCTGATATATATATATATACATACATATATTTGACAAATCCATTTGCACCGATAAGGATTCCACACATATTCGGGCTTTGACTTCGCAGAGTTCTTGACTCAGAGTTGGGTGTGCATCTGTCTTTAAAAGGTTTGCTGGTTTCCATGTTTTTGCATTCCATCCAACAACCTGGGATATGATCATCCCAAGTAGCTTGTATCATATTAGCTTATGTCATTTTATCTCCAAGCAGATCTATAGTTTATATATATTATATGTTTATATCATTTGATATCATTTCACATCCAAAAAGTATAGATCATATCAGTTTATCTTCAACAACGCACACACATACACATATATATATATATACAATAATATATATATATATATATAGAGAGAGAGAGACAGACGGAATCAGTCACCCACTAGCAGAGTTAGACCACCCTGAGTCAATCACCCCTCTCTACATATAAATTATGTATGTAGTTCCAGGTTCTAGGTTCCCCCGGTCATGGCACCCCCCGTACCCAGCGTCGTCGCAGCAATGGGCGTCGGCTCGCTATGGGCGCCTCTGGGAGCGTCGAAGCGCCCGATGCCGATGAGCTGAAGCGGCTCTTTGACAAACATGACGTGACGCGCTCGGGAAATCTGGAGCGACAAGAGGTGCCGAGTCGATGGGGATGGGAAGAATGGTAGATTGAATGGTAGGAGATGCCTTGGAAAAGTATGGAAAAGTCATGAAACGCCATAGATATCCATTGATCACTTTTTTGCAGTCGGATTTCGTTTTTCCATCTTGTTCGGGGGGTTACAGTAAATCCCCATATAGAGATAGATAAACATATTTTCACGGTTCCGTAGGTAAACTCTGAGAGTCTATGGCCTCTATGGATCAAATTCAAAGGAACGACACAGCTGGAATAGTACCAGAGTTTGGCTGTATTTTCCGCGCTTTTGGGCTTGTATCGGGCTAGCATCACAGCTGTGAACGACGTGAACGGCAGGCCTATGCCCTCATAGAAGACCTGCGGCTACGCTATGGAATGCCGCTTTGACCAGTCATAATGTCTAGCACATGTCGTGAAAGTCATTTGGTCAACTCCGGTTGATATTTTCGGACTGGAAGTTGTTCACGAGATGAATTCATCATGAGTCTTTTCTGATTTTGTTGGCAGCTCTGATTTGACATGGATACATGGATACATGGATAAATTATAGTGACCTCACTGCGACCTCACTGGAATCATGGTTAATAAGGGAAATCATACCCAAATGGCCTTAATTTATATACCCAGATAGATGACAAAATCTTGAGAGAGAGGCACTGACCAGCATTCACATCATTCACTTTCTAGTGTTAGATAATGTTTGGGCTACCTGCATCCTGAAACCCAGGGAGGAGGAACTTCCGGACTCTTTCAAAGACGCTGTCTTCAAGGACGGAAAGGGGATTATGTATGATTATGTGAGCTTTCAAAGCTAACGTGGTTTGATGATGTTTGATGATTCTCTGCCTTATGGGACAAAATGGGTGGCAATTGGCAGAGCCAGGACTTTGACAAAGACAATGCCGAAACCTGGAGCTGGCCAGCACTCAGCAGTCGATGAGTTTTGATTTGCGGTTTCCACTATGGTTCCACTTACGTCACTGAGAGCTTTTCACCACAGATATCAGATATCCCAAAAAAACATCAATTAACATCAACTAACATCAACTAACATCAATTAACATCAATTAACATCAATTAACATCAATTAGCATCAATTAACATCAATTAACATCAATTAACGACGTCCTTTGGCCGCAAGCCGGATGGTATAGCTGGAGGGTCCCCAACTGCCAGTTACGAAGGCACGACGTGCGAGTGTTGAGTGGTGAAGGGTGGCATGCCTGCGCCCCAGAGCCCAACGGCTTGTCAATGCTTGTCAACTCGCCCACCCCATTTTCAGATGCACAACAATATGCTGTTTATAAATGTTTACCCTCTGGTAAACTAACATAGCTATGGACAATCACCATTTTTAATGGGAAAACTCACTATAAATGGTCATTTTCCATAGCTATGTTAGTCTACCAGAGGGTATAATATATCAAGTTGGTGAAACGATGTGAAACATATATCATCCCATGAAACGTTTTCCATGATACACATCCCCATGAAATGCTTGGTTTTATAGTTTGAAACCCTCATCATTGCTATGTCCTAGGCGATGCGTCGCCGACTGCAGCGAGTCAGAGTACGGGGAGGCAGTTCGGCATCCAGTCGTCATGAGACCATTTATTGAAACCCATGGTGGCAACTGTTTTTTTTCTCACTGATCCAAGTCTGACTGAGGATGTCTCTGTGGTTTCCGGGATGGGTGGCTTGGGAAAACGCAGTGATTGCTTAATTGGAGAAACTGCAGTCGAGTTACCCCTGCGGAAGGGCAGAGGCACAACCGTGCTCAGCGGCAGAAGGAGAAGACTCTGGCAGAAAGCCTCGGGCTGAAGTGGCTGAAGTCACTGGCTTGTTTCGGGTTTTGTTGGCAAGGGGTAACGATCAATCAGACTTTCGGGGAAGTGATTCCAAGGTGCCTCTTCTGCCTGGGCAAAGGCCGGGAAGAACTTGAAGTCTGAACGATAGTTGTTGCGGAGGCACTAGCTTCGAAGAGCACACTGTGAGAGCCTGCTCGCAACAAAATAAGAACTTGGAATCTAAACATTCTAAACGAGCCATGTGAAAACAAGAACAAGAAGAACAACAGAAGGAGAATTGAATGAGGAGAAGAGAAAGAGCAAGCAAAAGCAAATTAAAGAAACAGAGGAAAAAATAGAGGGAGAACCAAACACTCATCACATTTTTGCCCCGGGCTCTTTCTTCTTGCCTACATGTGGTGGAAAGCAGACTTGAAACCACCAAGAGAGACGTTTCAACCTTCCGCTTCCGACCCTCAAGCACATAAAATAGATGAGAGAGAGAGAGAGAGAGAAGGCAGGCACTTGCTGGCGATAGAGCTTGTTGATCATGGCGGGAACGGGTGGCGCGCAATTTCGACCCACATATGTATAATTGCTATAAATATAATATACTTACATAATATGCCATAATATGCCCATATCATATATCAAACCTTTAAAATGATGTAACATGTATATTTATGGTTAAGGTACATGTATGATCATGTATGCATGCCAAATCATGCCAATGCATTTGCACAACAGCAGGTTTCTGACATGTGACACATCCAGGTTTCTGGGGCCGGTGCTGCCCTTGCAGCCATGAAAGATGTTGAGAAAGTCAAAGATCTGGAGGAGAAAATCTGCAAGTCTGTGGTAACCACCAAAAACATGTTTTTTTTTTTCAATTGCAAACCATAGAAATTTTGGGATATCCAATGTCAACCCACATGAGAGGCTTTTACTGTTGGAAATGCAATTGCAAATGTGCAGTATCCAAGTCTGCTGCTTGAAACCCTCTGAGCAGACTGTTCAGATTGATATTCAGACTTTTCAGACGTGCAGTGCAACTATGATCATTTCTCTTCAAGGAAGAGATTGAATTGGACTTCCACCCGATGAGAATCGAGAACATCTCCATCGGCCAGGAACTTCGAATCATCTTGAACTGGCTCCGTACGTTTGCTTGAGAAAGGGGAGGGAATTTCGAAGACTCAGAGAGTCCTGATCAGAAAACAAGACTCACACGGCAGTCCAAAATATTCGGAGAGACTCTCCAAGAACTGGAGATAATTTACAGATATTTACAGGTTCGATTGGGTTCAATGCTTCACTGTTGCAGGAGGCATGGACCTTTGCTCCACAGATCGACATGCGAGTGATTCGTCACATCCTCAGATATCCTCAGAGATCAGGATCCAGGACGGGGATCAGTTTTGCCATGTCTCTTCCCAGATTCGTCATTTTTCATCATGTTTCATCATTTTTAGCCCATTTGATGTGCATGTTTGATCATTTTTGTCCTCCCCCCAATGTTCCCCGGCATGTTGTAGTTGAACAACTGACAGGCGGCGACCCGCGACGTGGCAGAGCAGCTCCACATGAGGTGAACGAAGCAATCTTCAAGGGGTAACTCAGCTGATGCGCTCCGGTGATGACTGGCAATGGAAAAATCCTGCAGAGCTACCCTTTAGGCTAAACAAATATGGCTATGGA